GGCATTAAAAGTGGGACAGAAAGAGGCCAAGTTGACAGAAAAGGTACACTGTGATGTGCGCTCAGTATTACTGTAAGCCTACAGGTTGTACACCTCGTAGCACAAATGCACTACAAGTGATTACTTCCATGAGCGAGCCCAGAGAGAGCAACGTCAAAAGACACAAAAATCTGAAAATAAAAAAATAAAATGGCCACCAGGCGGTTAGGAAAACAAAGCAAAGAATTGGAATCAATAAATATAAACACCATTAGCTCTGTGACATACATAAATATAAACATAATTTACAGATCTACTGACTGTATTTAACACCTATTTTACAGCGTGGGTGCTGGATAGGGACATTTTTCGAGGAGGGTTCCTGGCATACAGAATTCCCCTCACTGCCACAGGTAAGTAATAACATACGACTCAATAAAGCATTTCAAACTTCCAACAGATTCACAGGAGGAGCTTTGTCAAGTCTCAGCCCGGCAACATGAAGTGTCTCTCTTTCCGAGATTACCCCCCCCCCTCGCCCGTCCCCTTCCAAGTTCAACGTTTCTCCCCATTGTATGTGGAGATGGGGTTTTGAGGCAGTAGAGAAGGTAAAGTACTTGTTTCTCCTCTTCAGTTATCTCCTTCCTTCTTTCCTCCCTCTGCCCTCTCCCCCTCTTTTCTCTCTTTGTCTCGCTTTAGGTAGTGGGAGCTAGAGATTGATTTTAATCCTGTGGGAGCGAGCTGTACCTGTGCCACAGAGTGTGCCATAGTGTGGTGGTTTCAGTGCCGTCTCCTGAAATATAGAGAGACAGACAGATATAGGGAGATTGTAGTTACAATATCATCGAGCTCTGCGCAGCCTAAGCTGTAGCCTTATCAGTGTGAGGCTACTCTGAATAAAAAAATCTCCAAAGAGAGTGGAGAAGATTAAAAAAAGCATTCTTCAAGGCACGACTGGCAATCAAGTCTTTATCTTGTCAGGTTTCCTTGAAGAATGCTACAAGTGTCACATGGTTGTGTGTTTTCTTGTACTTATCAGAGCATGCAGTCCAATTATCACTCCCAATTTGTCTTTTTGTCTCCCACCACACTTTTGCAGCACTCTTCATTCCCCACCAAAGAGCCATTTTGCTGAATTTAGACCCCCTCTTTCTTTCGGACCCTTGCCAGTGGGTCCTCTGATATGTACAGAATAAGACATGTTGCTGTTCCTAAAAACTTTAGCAACACATCTGCCAATATTTTAGCCAGGAAGAATCTGACCTGATAGCGCTTACATGAACAAGGCACAGTAATGCACAGATGTAATGACTCAACAGAAATAAATGAATTTAAAATAAATAAATTAAAAACAATGATATCAAAGTAAGACAAAGCCACGATCAGTAGAGGAGATGTAATACTGGGATCCAATTTGATTTACAAGACGAGTTAGCCTTTTAAAATCATGGCTTCTACCCCCAGCAATGCAGCCATTGTGAGTCAGCACAAGCGCCATGTCATCGGAGACACGGCGGCTAGTGTGAAGGGCCCATCATATCTTCGCCCCCACACGTAGGCAAATAATATGTCCAATGCTGCCCTTGTGATCCAATCCTTTTCATAACCTCAACACTTATGGTCTAAGGTCTGCGTGTGTGTGATTCTACAAAAACACCAACATCAGTTTCTCTTACATTGAGTCACAGCAGGAGGTTTGTTAAGCGGTGACCCCACGCGTGCCCAGAATTATGGGCCAAACAAAAGAATGTATTAGCCTTTTTATGCCGTGCAAATTCATGGGGATGTCTGAGATCACTTAGGCACTCATTTGATCTGCCTCCGCTTAAGCAAATGCACTCAAAAGAGCTCCTGATCACTGGAGGCAGATTGACCTCTAATATCATGGGGTTAAGGGTTCAAAGAAAACGATGAGGTGCGTAAAAATGGAGCAGAGTGGTGACGGGAGGGAGGAAGTTTTGCATTTGCAAATACAGCTCTCACTGAACGATGAAGCCATATGGTAACACAAAGCTGTGGTCTCTGAAGTATTTTAACAAGCTTTACTCTTCATCAGTTACATCTGTAAAGTCCCTGAAAACATTTTGGTGACCTTCAACCATAATCATCTCCTCCTTTGTGCCCTCCACATCGCTATTCCATGGGAAGGCTTTTTGTCTTGGCTTTATTTTCAGCTGCCTAAGGTGCATGGGAGGCTGTGGGGCAAAGATATATCACCGTGAATGGCCTAAAGCACCATCTGGCACAATGAACGAAAAGTAAAACACAAAGACCTCAGAGATCTTTAGTTTTGGGCTTCTGGTACTACTTTTAGGGTCAAAGAGAGACTGAATCGCTGGCATTGACGGACCATGTGGGTTCAGTGAGATTATTCTGTCAGAAATAATCTCTAAAAATCTAAAACAAATAAGATCACCTCAGATAAAGGCACCAACTACGCCTTTTGAAGGAAAGAAGTGTTGTTCTTTAAATGTGAATTTACTCTAAAGGAGCAGAAAGTCAAGCAGCAATTAAATTCTAATAGCTTTGACAGACGGGACAGCTTGTCATGTATTGTTACATCCCTTTGAATCCTGAGAACGTGAGTCACCCACAGATGTGGCATCGCTGATAATCTTAAAGGTTGGCTGCCTTTTTTCTTCTTATCCACCTCATTCGAAACCTAATTACAGTGATTTTAATCATACTGTACTACGAGTGATTAACCCTTTAGTGCATTTAATTAACCTTTGCAGCCACTGATTCTCATCAGGCAAGGTTTCATGCTATTCTTTTTTTTCTCCATGACACAGGCTTTAAATAAGCACAGTTAAAACTAGTGGGAAATCTAATGTCTAAAGTGGGAGGCCTGACTTTTCAATTGCTCTAGGGAACAAAAAAATAGATATATTTGGGTGCATGTGGCACTAAAATATGACAATTAATCCGACCTCTCTTTGAGAATTCTTGGAGAAGAGTATACAGTCCCTTAGAAATGCACAGATTCAAACAGGGCCTGGAGATTAAGATGTTTACTAATCATATATTCATTGATTTTTGAATTATTTCGACGGAAATACTCCACTCTGATCAGCAACAAGAGTGGAAATCAATTTAAGTTTTAATGCATAAAATTCATTATAGAAAATAATTCAGAATTGTAGAACGCATACTGAATATTTCGGGATATTTGAGGCCAGTCCCTACCAGTAAAAGGGGAAAATCATCCTGACAACTTGTCAGTGTGTCGTATAAACACATTATGAACGTAATCGTTGGTAGTATGGGCATGTAGCTGGCTTATGTATAAAAGTACCATGGCAGATCGTTTTTAACATGGATTTCAAATAAAAGGTGGATGAAGGGCATGACTATCAACTCTGTGTGGGTGTCTTCATAAATTACCCTAAGCACAATACTTCACAGGATCAACAGTCATTCATCAAAACTATGCCATAAAGACATTTGAATTCTTATAGGTGTTGCATAGAAGGGTACTGGGAGCCAAAAGACAGACATAAACCAAAGATCTGAAGACTGTGTGCAATACGACGCTAGACACAAAGAAAAGCAAGCACCTCATCTAACATAATCAATTATTGATGCAATATCATAAAATTGACCCAGAATTGGATGAATGGCAGTTGAGATAATTATGATCAAAACAGTAACAAAAATGAAATCCAATGCAACAACAACTACACCTTCACGAAATTATAAAAAAACAAATTCAAATGTTTGAAATTGGCAACAAATTCAACTCAACAATGATTGACATTGAGGAGAAACATGGTTAGAAACCTATCCGTATAAATAATTGCTACCACATGCACGGCTTTAATTCAATCCATTGCGCTTGTGATAGCAATCAAGTATCAACATGTACATACTCTGTATTTCACTGTATTAAGGAATAAATTATCTCTAACATAAACTACAACACATCACAGCAGCCATTACAGCCTCTCCTATGTGAGGTAAGTGAAACGATGTAAAGAATTTGTATCTACATATGCCGTTTATAACAATAATTGGGGGTCATTAAAGTATTTATGGGCTGAATGCAACGTCTACGTAGCAGGCTTTTTATGGACTACTGCTCCCTTGGTGTTTAAGTATATTGGTCTCAAGGCTCTGCGTCACCTTGATCTCTGTGACCCCCTCCCCATGCCCCAAGAAGTGCTCAGTCTTTCCCACAGTGCTCTGCTCTGACTGTCAGCACGGAGGAAGGCCACCTTTCCTTAACTCTGATTTACATTTATTTCCCTCGCCGGCTTTTATGTATTGGGGCACTTCGCATTTGGCAGATATGTGTTACGGAATCATAAGCCCTTTGCTGTACCTCGGCATTGAAATAAGGATTTCCTCCCACAAAAACTTCCCTGGCAAAAACTAAGACAGCACCTAATATTTTAAGGACAGAATCAACAAGTTGGACTATTCATCACATTGTTTTGGGATGTCCAGATCCTTTTTTCTGTTTTGTACTATGACCATCAGAGTTTTTCCACTGCTATTTTTATTTGTTTTTTTGACGTGTTTAAACATGTGCATCAAGTAATATTAGCACACAGCATCATTCACCCCTGACCTCAAATACATCAGTAGAAAGTTCAATCATTGTCACCTAGCTCAGGCTCTTCTAAATCAGGGTAGACTGCCTCCAACTACTCAGACTGACGTTAAAATAGCTAGCCATTATAATAGCACTGGTGCCATTACTCAAGCTATTGAAGATGAAATTAACCTGCATATTTTTATAAATGATTATGCAATTATGAGTGCTTGTGAAGGAGGGTGAAAACATGAATTAATAACAGTAACGTGACAGGTTTCCTACATTAATTGTGACAAATTAGATTTTATTATTTTCATTTTTAAGTGCAAATGACATTCATGTAGACATGGTCATGGTCTGTATGGGAAAATTCCTGGGCTCCATGCTGCCACCCCCCCCCTTTCACATCACCTACCGTCGGACAGCAAGGGGAGTGTGAGTGGGGACCAGTGTGGGTGGATTTAAAAAGGAAGTCATGAATTACCTGTCGGGTGGTGATTTGCCCCGCAGTCTTGAATCCCCCCTGACAGCTGCACTCTGAGACACTGTATGGGTCGGAGCTAGTCGATGAGCACTTGGAGAGTGAGTCGCAGCCCACCACGAACGTGTTGTCCAAGGGGAGTTCCTGGATCACATGGTGTTTCTTTGGGGCCACTGGAGTCTCGGGTTTGATTTGAAATGTAGGCTGAGGGGACGCAGACTTGTAATGCTTGGCTAAATCTGGGCTGTCAGGTTTGAAGGTGGTGGGCGTTGTGGCCCAGTTGTACTTCCCCATGGTTTGCTCCTCTAACTCCACAGGGAGATCCAGTGTTCCATTAACATGCTCATGGGTGGGGTCGTCAGGCTTGGATTCATCTATGGTCACAAAGTTCAAGAGGAGGCTCTTGGGGGATCGCTTCTTTCTCTTCTTCTTTTTCTTGATCTGACGGTTGTCTTGGTTGGGTGACACCCACTCGCCACTCTGCTTGCCCTTCTGTACCACTTTGTGTCTTGGTGTCTGTCGGCAGCGGACCAGGGCAGTTACAAATATCACCAAGATGACAGTCATGGTTCCTGCTATGATTGCTATGACAACAATCACATATCCATTGGCTTGAGGTGTTACCTCACTGTCCCCTATGTTACGATCCAAAGGTGTCTCCATACTTTTTCGCAGCTGCTCTTGGATAAAGGTTGCATTTGACACAGTGTCATTGACAAACAAGTGGATAAGTGCGATGGCATGTAATGACTCAGGCTGACCCAGATCTTTGACTTTGACTATCAGCCTATGCAACCCTTGATCGGCTGTCACAATTTTCTCCTGCAGTGTTATGTTACCCGTTGTCTTGTCGATGGCAAAGAGACCTCGAGGGGAGACCCTAGATGTGATGATGATGCTGCTGATAATGCTGTACTGCAGCTCAGCATTCATACCTGTGTCATTGTCAATGGCGAACACTCTGGTGACCACAGCCCCAGGGTTGGTGGTGGTTCGCACTAGGTCATATGAGTAATTGGAGGATGGGATGACGAACACTGGGCGATTGTCGTTGACATCGACCACATTGATTGTGACCTTGGCGTAGGATGAGCTTGGAGGTTGCCCTCCATCAACTGCCTTAACCATAAATGTGTAGGAGCTTTGCTGCTCCCTATCAAAGGTGATGTTGGGTTTAATCACACCGGTTTGGGGGTCGATGATAAAATTATCTTTCCCGTTTAAAACAGACAGGGTTATAATCGCATTATCTCCCGCATCCGCGTCCGTCACTGTGATTAAGCCCACAGTCCCATAGAGAGGCAGGTTCTCGGGTACATAAAAGTTGTACTCTGGGTGTGTGAAAGCTGGGCTGTTGTCATTAAGGTCCTGGACGATTAGCTTGACAGTGACATTGCTCTGCAGGGACGTGGAGCCATTGTCCCTTGCTAAGATAGCGAATGAGTACCTCTCTTGCTTCTCTCTGTCCAGTCGTTTGCCAACGGAGAGAATTCCTGACCGTCTGTCTATGTTAAACCCGTCGGGTGCATCAGGGCCAAGAGTATAAATAATCTCAGCATTATGTCCGCTGTCTGCATCAGTGGCGCTGATTTTTATTAACTGTGTAGAGGGGTCATTGTTCTCCGGTATGGAAAGTTGGATTTCCGGCTGGGGGAAGATGGGTGCATTGTCGTTCTCATCCTTGATTTTAATTAAAACCATAGCTGAAGTGTTCAAAGGAGGCGTCCCCCTATCCGAGGCCACTATCTTAATTGCATATTCTCGAGTCGTCTCATAATCTAAGGGGGCAGCTGTTTCTAGTAAAAATTGGTCGTTAAAGACAGGCTTCAATCGAAAAGGAACATCATGGTCGGTGTAGCAAGCCACTTTACCATACAGATCTGCATCCTTGTCAGTTACAGTGATGAGAGCTATTTTGGTGTTGAGGGGAGCGTTCTCCGACAGCAGAACCGTCCCATTAACCAGGTTGATAATGTAGCGAGTGTCTATGGAGGGAACATTGTCATTAACGTCTGTTACATTAACAATCACCGTGGCTCTGGAGGGGGTGGAGCTGCCATCACTGGCAAGGACAATGAGTTTGTGAACAGGAGTTACCTCCCTGTCCAGCGGCTGCTTTACAGTGACCAACCCAGTAGAGCTGTCAATGACAAAGTGACGTTTGGTGGGGGCAGAGATCTGATTGCTGAAGGCAAAGTGGATCAGGGCGTTGGAACCCAGATCTGCGTCCGAAGCGTGGAGCTGAGCAACAGATGTCCCCATCGGGGCATTCTCTGGGACCGTGACCTCCAGCTCACTGTCCTTGAAGACGGGCCGGTTGTCATTGACATCGGAGATGGTTACTTGGAGGATGGCAGTGCTGGACTTGGGAGGGTTGCCACCATCCTCAACCTTTATCTTCATCACAAAGGTGTCCTTCTGCTCGCGATCCAGGTTCTGCTGAACAATGAGCTGCGGCCACTTGTCCCCTTCAGGAGTCTCTATGATGTCTAAGCCAAACTCGCTGACACTCTGCAAAGGCAAGAAAACATTTTGTGTTATACTTTTTCTGATTAGTAACAATGAGTACTTACAAAAATCTACCAACATTGTTGACGATCCCTATAGTAATGTGTAATATATTCTGATGTAATATATTCTGAAGCCAAACAGCTGTCGGGGTATTTTTCTTAGGTTACACAGCTTTTTTGGGAACCCTTTTTGCGATCAGGCTTTTAGGCTCTAATGAATGTCAACAGAAAATGAATATAAACCCAGGACATTTTTCAACAATGCAGCTGGTTCTTGGCTCTGCACTGCTCATCTCAGTAGGGCCTCCATTAATCAAAAGCCTTTTCAAACATGCTAATCATTGGATTGTTTGACTAATTTCCCACCTACACTATACAATTTTTACAAATGTGACCAATCATTGTAGAAAATCAGGTCCCTCCATCCCTCCTTCTAACATTTGCTTGAAGGGACTGATTTACCTCCTTTCCACTAAAAAAAACAAAAAAAAGATTTCACGCTACCTTCCTATCTTGGGTCAAGTCAAAATAGAACGGGCAGCCTTTTACTTCATAACGGGAGAGAGAATGCTAGAAATGGAGACACAACACTGAGCTCCCCTTTAAAATAGACTGCATGACTAGATAACCAGAGATTAAGAGAAGGGAGTAAAAAACCCTGAATATCAGAAAGGCTTTTTGCTCAAGAAGGGCTACATCTAGGCAAAAGTAAAGCTGAAGAAAATTGAAAACAAATGCATAAGTAATCCCCATGAGAAACCCGGAGGAACTGGCACCGGCTGTTAAGAGTAATTGCCTTCCTCCCAAAAAACTAGCACTAACATTTACCATTTTAGATTGGGTATGGTATGGATCCATTATTTTTTTCAAATTACACAAGAGAGGAAGGAAAGGGAGGACGAAAGAGGGAGGGAGGGAGAGGGAGACAAGTGACAGAAAAGGAGCGAAAGGGAGAGAGAGCACGGGGAGGAAATAAGAAGATCAAGCCCATGAATGAGCTGCATGCACATTATGAAACAAAGAAGCTCTTTGAAGCTCATTCAGTCAGAAGTAGTTTCATGGTAAAACAAGAAAAAGCATCCTCTTTAAAGAGATAAGCTTCATGCTGCACATAATGTTGGAAGAGATTACTCTGTCTAGCTACAGCTACCAAATGAGATTAAGATATATGCATTTGCCTCGTTCAAGGAAGTAACATTTTAACCAAATTGTGAGTCTTCAGTAGGTTTTAAAATCTCGAGCCGTACTGGTGTTGCTGCCGATTCAAGAACACATGCAGCTGAAGCATGTAAATGATTATTACTTTTAAAAACTGCTGGCCAAGGGGACTGTTGTCAACATGTCAGTGATTGACAGAACTACTTAAAGCAGTAAGCACTGCAGCAGTGATCTTTCAGACCCTATTCTGTGATCTTTCCGGCAAGCAAGAGTCATTTTGTGATACGCAGCGTATGCAATATGTGTGCTAATGTCGAGAAACTCTTTCATGGATGGACTGTGCTACATGTTCATATTCTATGCAGAACTATTTCTGCCTCCACCAAATGGTCCAAGACATTGTGGGGGGGTCTATTGCTAAGGACTACTCCATCCACAGAGTTCCTCAATCCCCAGTTATAGTGCACACATGCGGCACAGAATCTTAGTATCTAATGCACTGATATTTGACAAAGCCTGACTTAATATTAGGATGTTGAGTTAGAATGTGTCAAAGGGAATGCTGCACAATGATTTATGAGCCAGCATTTCCTCTATGCTTTTGTCTTGGTTTCACACAATTTTACAAGTGATAAGGCAGCACTCAGTGCATTTCAATAAGTTGAAGGGAGCTATCTTTTAGGGTGTGCATCCTCCTGAATGCAAAATTAGCCTGGTGGATTGTGATAAGATCTAGGGCAGGCTAAGAAAAGGCCAAATACTAGCATGAATCACTCACTGGAAACCCAGAGGCAGAGCGAGAAAGACGCAACTCTTTAAACAGATAAGTATGCCCATTATACACCTTTCTCTCCCTCCACACATGCACTTTACAGGTACATGTCTTCTTGAACTTTGACGACTTGCCATTCATTCCAGATTACCGGTTTTAGGGGCGATCAGTGAGGGCTCATGGCGATGTACATGTGGTAAGCGTATGGTGCCCTATCTTTCCACAGATAGCTCATTTAAATGAAGGGATACTGATAGAAGCAGCGGTGGCTGATGAAGAGGGAAGGATGACACCAAACACTGTTTTGGAGACAGCGACTGATCAGAGGATGCATCGTTCAGTCAAGTTGATGACCTTATTAAAACTAAGAGGAGACTGAGATTGGGCTGTGAATATATCAGGAGGACTCGAGTCACGGTGATGCCCATGGAAAGGGCTAACTGGGGGAGGCTATTCATCACATGCTATTGCACCTCTTTATAATGCTGATGGAGACTCACACACTCTCCGTCTCTTGCTCTCATTCCTGCCTCATTCCTTCCCTCCATCCCTCATCCACTTTTGCCCCTGGCCATGATCTCATGCATATAATTAAGACAAAAAAATGGGAATTGTTTTTCTCTATTCGTTAACCCTTAGAAGAGGATAATGTGTCAAAATAGGATGCTAATGAAAACTGGAAAAGCTTGACAGTGAGCTCTCTTCCCCTAAAACCTATTCACTGCCTATAGGCAGCATGCAATGCACTAATCACATTTTTCCTGCTATTTGGGAAGGGAGCTTGAATAAATTCTGCATCTTCAAATGCAAAGTTAGCATCAGTTTAGGAATGAAATTATTCAAGCTAAGACGGAGTGCCGGCAAAAAGACCACTTCATTTACCCATAAATCTGAGGTGTATTTCAGAAAGAAATGTTGCAAGGGGAAATCTAGGTAGGTGGCAAAAGGTTAAAGCCAAAATCCCTCCAGATTGCCCAACCGAAATGCTCACACACACTTCATCATACAATTCATCAGCATAACATGGCTCAACATGTAATTACTTGAACGTGACACCCGCCCGTCTGTCTGAAGATGCAGACAAAGGTTCAACTTTGATTCATGTGGTGTGATTTTCTTCTCACTTATAAACCACTGGAATAAGGAGAGAGGCCAATGTGTGTGAACAGTTTCATGCAAAGTCAAAAGCAGAATCTCCTTTCGTCTTTAGTATGTTTCCATGTTGGCCCCCGAGTGATCCTGTGAATACGTAAAGTGATCTAATCTGCTTTCATGGGAGATCCTTCCTTCATCCATGTGATTGTTAACTCTGACCTTGACCATTTCTTGGGACGCCTTCTCTGCAGCTCTGATGGCGTAGCACACCACCACACAGTACAAGGGTGGTGGACCCTTGAGTTTGGCTCCCTGTGCTACACAATGGTAGCAATTTCAGCACCGTGCCTTGCACAACACAAGGAAACTGGGCAAACTTCATTCCGAGGGAGCTTCTGAGACAAATCTCACAGGACCATACAAAGATAGTCCAAGGGTGGCTTAGCGGCCAAAGCTATTCTAGGAAATGCTTGCACATTCCTTCCTCACTAAACCCTTGGCTTTCTACTGCTCTTCTGAAGTAAAAGATAACAAAGGTTGAACATGTTTCTGGTTAAGGCTTTTCCCTGTGTTTTACTCGTATGGAACCTGGAATAAAAGGAAATGAATCTTGAGTACAATGGGAGTATAATGAGAAGAACTAAATCAGGAACACAGTGCCGAGGATGCTCTAAGAAAAATGTTCTGCATATGCAACCACGTTCTAGGCGAGGGTTTTAGGGAGCTTTATATTGTGAAAAGGGTAAAGAAAATGATTGCAGATGATCGTCCTAATGAGCGGAGCATTTGGTTGGTGATTTTCCAGGCATGAACAATTCACGACATTGCACTGGAGAGGCCTTGGCAGTAGACCTAAAAATGTGAATTGGTATTCAAGGCAGACACGGAGAGGGACAATTCTGTTGATTCCAACCCAGTACAAACTTTATCTGAGAATCTAAGATGGACAAGTCATTTCTGTTTTACACCGTGCCCTCAAAATCCACTAACCTTTCTTTATTTTTCATGTTTAGGTTTTCCTCCAGAGTGCTTGCATCTCCCCCTTTAATTACACTTCATTTGAAAGAGCTCATGTCATCTCCGATATCCATCTATCCACAGAGCATAGAGTGTTGTCTAGACCACAATGAAGAGTGCATGATATCATCCTACATTTCTGGTTTTAAGGCTGACTCCATTAGGCGACATAGGAAATGCATTGTAGTTTAAAAGAAGCATTAAATGGATGAAGACGAAAGGATTTTCCTAGTTCTACTTCATGAGACATCTATTTACATTATACATTATTATCCTTCTCACATATCTACTTAGCTCAGCACATGTAACCTATTGTTGGAAATTGAACATGCACTATATGCTTTGTGTGCACTTTCTAATTCCTGTTCTCAGATATTACCGAACATGGTGAGAACTTTTCCTTCGTCTTCCATCATTTTGAAATATATAATAGATTTTAACTATTAAGTTATAAAAGATAAAAGATAAGCCTTATGATATACAGTATTCTACTTCATGAAAAAGTATGTCATATATTCTACAAATTAAAATGAATTTCCAATTTGAAAAATGCACTAAAGCTCTACAAGAGCAATATAGCAGGTTTACAGGAGGAGCTTTTAGAGAGAATCTGAATCGTGTTACATGCAAAATATATGGTAAGAAAAATGAAGACAGTAAATATCGTAAGGACTTAATGATCAAAAAAAACAATCAGACCATTGGCATACTGCAGGCATAGCAGTATGTTTGAATTATTCAACAATATGTGTTGAATTCAATCAGTTATTCTGCTTGCCTTTCATAACGTCATTTGAAAAGATATTTAATTTAATACTTTTGTTTTACGCTTTATCTCTTTTTAATTGTTTCTCTAAGACATTTAGCTGCACTGGTCTTTGATTTATTGCATGGAATTTATGTGAACTGGGATTTCTAAAATGCCTATTTAAGAGTCACACAAAGTTTGTTTTCTCTTAAGTTCATGTTGTAAATCCTGTAACTTTGTGCTGTAGCATGAGTCTTCAGGCCGGTATCCTTCACTATTAATATTGTTCAATCAATAATTATTGAATTAAATTAACATAAAGATCTTGAGATCGACTTAAGTAAGAAATCGAGTACATTTTTTACTATCCAATTACATCTGATAATTCAGTAAACAATTCAACCAGGATCTATAGGAGTCATGACTTCAATTTACTTACAGACTCTTGCAGTCCTAGTGTTAAATAAACAACATCAGCATTGATAAAGGAACCTGAAATCATAAATCTGATTTAGAAAACGTTTGCTTTTTCATAGACCCCCCCCCACACCCTGATATGTGACAATGATTAAGGTCACCCTGAAATATATTAAATACCTACTAATTTTCTTTTCTATGTGTGATAGATAAAATGGGTGTGAGCCTCACCTTGACCAGTTCATAGTGTTGGATCCCATTGATTCCCACATCAGGGTCAAATGCTGAGGGCACTGGGTATCGAGTGTTGATAGCTGTGTTCTCCGGGATGGAGATGTTTATTACAGTTGACTGGAAAAGGGGGGCGTTGTCATTTACATCCTCGATCAGGAAGCGGATCTTTACCAAACGGAAGATCTCGTCTGGCAGAACGGCCACCTCGATCTCATAGTAGCAGCGTTTGTCAGCGAAGACCCCTGAGCACAGCTTCTCCCGGTCGATTCTGTGATTGGTGGTAAAGATCTCCCCCGTGTTGGCCTCCACCCTCACCAAAGGCACGTCACCTGTCTTGTACACAGGCTTGAACTGCAGCGGTGAGGATAACCTGATGTTGGGGTCAAGGTTGAGGTCCAGGTCCTTGCGCAGGTTCCCGATGCGAACGTTCTCCGGCTGCTCCTCCTTCACCGTGTAGTCCCTCTCCTGGGCCTGACATAGCACGGCCACACAGGTGAGCAAGACCACCAGCACATGGGCCTGACTTGCTAAGTCCATACTCAAGAGTGAATGGGAGCTTTGCTTCTCCAGCAGCCAATTCTGCCACGAGAGAGGTGAGAAGCAGAGAGAGAAGAAAAAAAAAAGAAGAGAGAAAGAGAGAACACACAATGTCAGTGCACAAATGGCATTCTAGTTCTCGGGTAATTAGTAGTATTTCCCCATATGGAGAGTTTTCAACTTGACCTGTTCATCCTAACTGGTTACGACTGCACATCCTTTGTATGTCTTTCAGAGCAAATTAACGACGGCTTTACACAATTAACCTTTCATGGCATCCTTTCAGCAAGCGGACACGTAAAGGTTAGTAGTTCACATATTCCATCCATCCATTTCAATGCTGTGGTTAAACAATATTTTTATTGAGAAGTATCATAGCCCCGGAGTCCTGATTTGTGATGGGCTTTGAAAGCTTGCTCACACAAAACAATGGAATGAAGCGAAAACCTTAACTCATATCTGAGTCAATGTCAGTCAATATGCCGCATCGATGTCTTCATAAACAGCACCCCACATCCAGACTTGAGCTTATTTGGAAGCATGCCCCCAGACACACACCCACACTTGCAATATTAGCACTTGATAACAGCTATTAATGGGAAACCTCAATTGCTCTGAATGCAAAAAATCAAGCTCTCCAACATTTTATGAACACCCATGTGGGAACATACACAGACTGATAAGAGCGCTGTTTAGAGTATCTGCCGTGGAAGGAGACAACATTGTGTTATTTACCCAGTGTGCCGGCATCAGTGACATTAGTGAAATTGAGTGATAACGTCATTACATCGTTAGAAATGTTTTTTTCCTAAATCAAATGTGAACAGCCTTCAGTCTACTGAGCTGAACGATGCCTATGTAATTGTTTACCATCACTGAACAGTATTTATTAATGCATCTAATTTTCGGTTGCCACTTTATTTCATGCCGTTATTCTACAGAATCTGTACCTGTTTTATATCTCCAAATGCTCGCCAAAGGGCAAGAACCCCATTTGCCAAAACCCAAGTAGGTCATTGGAAGATGATGAAGGAGTCATGCTCTGCAATGCCTTTCTGCCAGTATATGCTAGTATGAAATATTGACAACCTTTCACCAGTTAGTGGCATATTTAATAAGTTATTACGGGACTGACTTCATGTAATTTCCTAGCTAACATTTGGATTTCTTCATTGATTTAATCGATTTGTGGGTAACTTTAATAAAAGAAAGAATGTCACAGATCTCAATACATTATTGGCCACACATGCTTTAATTGGCTTTTCGCATTACAGGGGTGGTAATAGAGTTTAATTATCAAAGTATATTCTTGTTAAGTGTTTTTTTCCGTAGAAATGTGTGTTCCAGCGCAATATATTTTACAACTAATATAATTTCATTGCTCATATCCCACTGTGTATTTAAGTCCACCAACCCCCTTGAGTGTTTATGTGTTTATCAACTGCATGATTCTCTTCAAGACATTGGTTTATATTCATACGGCAACTGCCTCAAAATCAACGTCCATTTTCTTTAAAGTATGAAAAAAAATCTATGACAGCCATCATAGAAACGATGCTGAAAATGCATACATACCCACATTAACAGGGGACCACCAACAGCTCTTTGGGAATCATAATATTTTATACTCCGTGAAACTCCCATCCATTTACATGACTCAAACAATAGCCTAGGGAAAAGGTATGACTACCTAAACTACACTACAGGGGTCTTCTAAATTGCCACGGCAACAGCATTCTTAGCCATTGAAGCTCCGGTCCTACACACAAAGGGGAATTGATTAAAAATAAGAATTTAATTAAGCTGGTTTTGAATCAGCAACAATTGCGAGGCAGTCATGCAGCTTGTAAAGACATATTTCCTTTCACACATTTCATAAAGCAGTCACATGAGACTCATTAAAGAACAGTAGAACATGAAAAAACATGGCTCTGACATTGATCAGTCTGAGGGTTATTAATTTTACACACATAGCACGAGCAGTGTTGTACTGTCATGTCAAAATGTTGATGGGATATATCCCATTAGTAACTGTGACTTCCTTTACTTTGAAGTGGGCATCTTTCTAAGAGTGAGAAGCAATTGCTTTACTCTGATGATCGTCGGGCAGTCCAAGGCTGAGCTCGCACAACGCATAATGAAGTTTAAATTACATCCCTAAATGGGATGTGATTCAGTAAAGTGGAAAAAAAGAAAGGATCAAAGCATGATCCAGATTTGACAATGATGTTTCAAAGGATGAAGAGTTTTGGAGAAGATGGAGTACAAACGTAGTAGCAAAAGAAACACCCTGGTAATGCTAATGGTATAGGAGATATACATGTACGCTATGTGTTGTAATGAATATAGGAGAAACATTTATAAAGCTATTTCTCTCGTTTTGATATTTTACTCACACAAGGCAAATGTTGCCCTTAAAACCCATTGCTGCCAAACTTGTTTGCCAAATACTCCTATTTTATTAATGCAGTTTTATTTTCTCGTACCCATGATTTTTCCAACATTTGCATGGCGTTTCACTTGTCACAACTCTTAATATGCTTGTCCATGAGGAATGGGCTGGTTGAGAGAAGGAATTGTGCTGGAAGGGGGCAAAAAGTACAAGGGAAGGAGAAAGAAATCCTAGGTGTCAGTCAGAGTGTCTCCTTTGCTTACATTTCACTGGTCTCCTGAAATGCTATTTTGAGCTCCAGACAGCAGGTTGAATCCAGCAGGCAAACTTAAGACTCCCTCTTGGGAGACGCACAGTGAAGAGGAGCAGGCCAACCCAGGATCACTTTACACAACAGCGTGATGGACAGACCTTCCTGAAGGTAGCAGTAAGAGGGGAGACGTACATTGTCAGCCCCCACCTTCACCCCTAAAGATACCCTCAACTGGAAACTTTCTGTGTATTTAGTCGGAGGTTGGGAACCAAGACATTTGGAGTGATTTAACTGTCAAAGGGAGGTTTTCACCACTGTTGTATCTATCAATGCTGCCTTTGGATCCAAAGAGATTTTCAAAAGAGGGCGTTGGCAGGACTATTACTTTTGATTGTCTTGGGCTTTTTCTCTTTTAACAGCTTTAAGGTTCGCTGACAGCCTGACAGACCAGGTTTCTGTCAAGATCAGTCAGTTATTTTTCAGTCCACGCAGCAAGAACAATTCTCTTTACATGGTGGAGGAATAAAAGTTGTTTTCTCTTGGGAAATGTCAGCAACGACTATATTACTTGAGTTGTATTGGGAAGTGAGAAAGTGCAATAAAATGATGCGTGACTTAAAATTACCCCAATGACAATGTTAACACGAATGTTAATACTGAGAATGGATATATATCAGAGTTCAAATATCGCCGGGATTGCATATTGGAAAAAGCTGATAAATAGAAACGTTGACGCATTATTTGTCACGCAATATTTGCATACAGCCTGCCAATCATGTTATGCTGCATAACTCAGTGGCTTTTCATTTCCCAGTCTTTTTTCATATAGACCTGGATAATTAATAGTTAGGTAATATTTCTGACCCTTCTGCATTAGCAAAATGACGAACCAATTTACAGCGCTGTAATGATGGACCTCAAGGGGGCAGTCCATACATGCAATTGTAATCCTAATGCTAAATATAAGTTGGATCTTCTTGGTGTACATCATTTTTAATGTTTACTTGGCTTTAAAATCCATTATCTTTAATGAAAATGGGACACCATTTTAAATTATGGAACGTTAAATTATCGGAGAAACCATGCAATTAATTAAAACAAAGCACAACAAAAACTTGTGATTAACCTATTATGGAAATTGCTCAAAGAGAAATTACTTTTTTAATAATCCTGGAAAATAATTTTCATATATATTGATGTAGCCATATTTCAGGGGAAAATGGTGCTCAAGACATAACCGTGAATTTTAAAATATAGGATCAATTGTGGGAAGTCATTTTCAATACATATTACCCCTTATGGGAAGTAAAAAAAAAGACAGTTCAACTGCTATGATATCAGATGAGAGGATCCAAAACCTAAGATGGTTCTAAATGATAGAAAAACTCAAGTTTTCACATAAAGCATCTCTGGGATGCATTTCTGAGACAAAAAGTCAGTTTCTCTATTAACTCTATACAACACATGCAGTTTGCCGCCAAGAGATTGACCCCCAAAGGCATTACATCATTTTGTTGAATTTATCACACGCTTCAGAAGAATAACTTAAGATTTGTTTTTGACCGGTATACACCAGAATGCTTTAGATCGTGATGGATTTCTTTGTACCTTCTTTAAAATACAGACGTGCGTGTGCAAATGGTTTTATTGCAAATTTCCAATCAAACAATTACTTACAGCCTTACCTCCATTTACCCACTGACTCTTTTTCATACAAATGTCTCAGCTTAAAGCCCAAATAAACTGCTCACCTTGGGATAGTTCACATTAACATTTGATTTAATTCTCCAGCAAACCTAGAGCTCAGTTGGCCTTGTGGGACTCTTTAAAAACAGGCCCAGTAATAATCTATTGCGCACGGAGCCGGTGTGACCTATTAGGATCTCAAACAACCAGCTCAGCCACTTCATCTCGACGCCAACGGGGATTTACGTCGTGACAGTTTGAACTATTTACAGTGCAATGCATTACTGTATATTTACGAATTATATTCCTAGAGTGTGCGCGTGAACAGACTGAGCCCCCCTGAGGTGACGCGCTGTGACAGCTGGACCGCTTGACCAGGAGCGCCCCGTTACCGCGCACCCACGCACCGGGCTTTACGGCCAAGCTGCCGAGAAACACGCACCGACAAGTCCCCGCGGTTCAATGCACTTGGAAAGTAGGCCTATCTGTTTAGCGATCGGTGTGGATCACTCACAGTGCAACGAATCATCTCAGATTCTCCACTAAGCACCGTGTCCGTGGATACTTTCTGTTTAAAGCAGCCGCGCCGCGATGCGTTCTATCTATGGAAAAGCTTCTAGGAAAGAAAAAACCCCGCGGAACATCTAAACGACCCACCATCGAAACACAGGGGTTCATCAGAGTGCCGTGGACTAGCACTGCATTTACGGCCGGCTCATGCTGCTCATAGTGATTATAAATAGAATGCAGGTCCTCGTCGGTATTAAGACGTCCATTTGATTTTACACGGACCACACAGATTCGGCTGTTGGGCGCACTCCAGCTCCTCGGAACGCGTTCAGGATACGGACCAGCCATGTGCATTCACATGCGCACAGCCTACTTAAGTAAAAAGAGAGAAAAGGCATTTCGATCTCAGGACTTTCGAACAGTAAAGTCGAGATTGAGAGCAAATCTTACCTTTTTTCCCGCTCGGATATGATGAAAAATCAACCGTGAGTACCGCCGCGTGGAGACATCACTGATTTACAAAAAGAGAATTTAACTGAAGTGGGAGAGGATCCTCATCAGAAGTGGCAGCAAAACGCAATGCAAGTAGAAAAAATGTGTTATCCACTAAAAAAACTTATCCATGTGCTAAAAAAACGGTGGTCCTCGTGTGCACGAAAAAAAACCTTCACAGCGATCAACTTTGACTGAAACGGTCGCTGTAATTCCTCCTTGGATGTCTTGGACTCAAAATTCCACGGCCGACGATACGCGGCGATCCTGGCTTGTTCTACATTAACTTTGTAACCCTAGCCTACGTTTGCCTTGAAATTGCCAATTTTTTCTTCTTCTTTTCTAGCAGATCAAAAACACGCCGGCACCAAACTTGGCGTGTGTGCGTTAAATGTTTCTTGACCACCTCGTAAAACTTCAATCCAAGAGCGCAAAAAACAGAGTTCTGATGGAAAAACTGAAAGCGTAAACCTGTTTTTTTTTTACAACCACTTGTTTTGACTGATTCTAGGTTATGCACGCTCCCGAAATACTCTTGAAGGAGGGATGCAGAGAGCGCATCGCCCCCCCAACGGAGTTAGGATCAAAGTGTGCTTCAGCGCAGCATCATTTACAGGAGCTGGGATAGGCGGTTCACCGTATCTGTCTGCTAAGCTGTAGATGTCTCAGTAGTATTGTATGAACTCAGTTTCTCATTTCTGCCCACCTCTCTCTCTCCTTCTCTCGCTCTCCCTCCGACTGACATCACGGGGGGGAGGAGGAGCCAACTGCAGATTTAAGAGCCCTGGTCCCCTTAAAGCCGCACTGCGATGCAGAGCGTCTTGCATTGAGGTGGATTGCGCGGCCGTGTGTGGACCACAGATGCCTTCTGCTGTTCGCCGTAGCCACAGTGCTTCAGAAATCCGCCGGAAAGGAAGAGGGGGGCACTGTTCACTTTTATACCGAGCTCTGTTTCTGCTTTTCGTTTTCCAATTAGTTCTACTGTATCGTTGGCACCTCAGCATATAATGAGGTTCGGTTTCTTTTCAGACATTCCAAAGAGTGTCAACAGGCTGTGGCAAAGCTCTTATTGTGGCTCGGGAGATAAATTAGCCCAATGATAGGTTTGCTGACAATTACAATAGTTCCATTGTATAAAATGGTGTTGTATAATCTAATTCCTGTGGTCTAGGAGCCTAGTGCAGTTCCTGTTATGAAACTTATAATATGAGGAAATGACAACAAATTACAGAACAATTTGAGGCAAACGTAATTGTATACAAATTGACAATGTAACTCAAAGGCTGCATTAAATAGAAATGCACAGTAGTGTCTTCTCGCAGCCGAAGAGCACAATGCCACACAGGTATCAATGCAACACATCGATCAGCTCATAAAGCCCTGATCACAAATCATAAAGCTTTCACTTTTCTCTCTAATTGAATGGGTGTAAAGTAAATTCTTACAGGTGCTTGTGTGGAGGTCATTAAGGGCTGTTGTCAATCTAAGGTCAAATCATCACCACCACCATTACACAACGGATTACCTTTTGCAATCACCTCGCACAACGAATGGCTGTAGCTTTGCATTTAAAAAAGTTTAGCCCCTGGCAAGATTTCATTACCAGCTTTCTTCACCTGTGCACCGTTTCTATCATCATTTCATGCCACAACACACATCCCTGAAGACAAGGGATCTGGGGGTAGAGCCAGACCTCTTTTGTTATGTTTAGGCCAAATAATACTTTACTCTGAAAGCAACTGCTGGGAAATTGTATTTCCATCTTTATTCATCCAGTGAGAAAACACGGCATAAAACAAACAATATGTGTTTGTTAATTTTACTGTTAAGACTCTGAGGATGCTCCTCGGAACCAATTTTTACAGCCAAAAAGCTGGAATATCTGTCAGAATACTCAACATTCCTCATGCATGATTCATATGGCTATTTGGATATTTAAAAAAAATAACTTTTAGAGGAAACCTTTGGCATTTCTAATGAGTTGAAAATAAACAGGCAGTGTTTTCAAAATCTTTTAGGATGCATAAGTAAGCTCTTACATTTCACAAAACTCAAATATATCTATGTTAATGTAAATATATGTGTAAAACGTGTGACACTGGTTGAGATTACTGTTTTACCCTTGATTAATTATTCATGGCAAGAAATCCTTGGTTATAATTTTGTAGCAGAAGATTAGCTTTAAAGTCCACTTACTATTCTTTACCCTGATTTCTTGTTCTACTCAATAGATCCAATGCAACATGTCCACCCAGCTCATTTTTTAGTTTCTGAAGTATATCACTTTAGAAGGTTCTCAAACAGAAATATAACATTTGTTCCCCACAATCTTACATCAAAATGGTTCTTCCGCTAAGGCACTTAGTGGTAAAAATTTAAAGAAGTAACGATCAAATTGACCTTTTTCTCGACATTTCCATCAATCATGATTGCTGGTGCCAAATCCATGACTTGTCATGCACACGCTGAAGAAATAATTGGAGGAAAGAGCACACTCACTAATATATCTTATCAGTCTGGTACAGCAGTACAAGGGGATGGGTGAAGGAAGGGGTAGTAGAGCTACATTGCAAGGTCGGCGTGTATTAAAATACAGAGTTATTGAGAAAGATGATTTACCTCCTCGATTCAATGCCATTCTATTATTTCATTATCCTTTCAGCTTAAACAGCATACGTTTTCTCGGTCTCAAAGAGACCACTATGAAATAGCTGTAGAACCACATCTTTGTTCGTTGCTCCGTTAAAAGTGGCCGTGTATTTTTGCCTCAATTGGGAATGGTACTGTATCTGGCCGACAGTAAAAACGAAAGAATTTTGAAAGTTGGCAGTGCAAAGTGTCCAAAGAATATTCTGTAGAAATACAGCAGACACGTTTGAAGAGTTGGAGACATCCTGACAAAACTCATTTTTTCTTGTCCACATACGGTGGGTTTTTATTCATTGCAACTTTTAAGAACCACTGAGATTCACTACGAGTTGAATCGTTATTGTGTCATTTCTTTCTTTCGATTTCACTTTCACGAGGATCTCGGGAGACAGAAAGGATTCGAGGAAGATGGAGTGGACAGAGTGAGGACAATTCAATATTTGCTTTTGGCTTATTGGCAACAGAGGTAGAATTTCAGAGAAAATATGTAAAAACCTGAGACCCGAAAAAAAAGATACCCTGAATGGAATAATATTTGAACTTATGAATATGCAGCGTGCATGATGGTGGTTTTGTCAAGAACAGCATAGTGTAGAAGACAAAGCCTTTAGCAAGGCCGATTACAGTCTATCCTGTCGGAGGAAAAATTGCTAAAAACCGAGAGATAAATCCAGGGGCATCACCGGTTCATTCAAATCAGATTACTGCTTTGAGTTATCAACCCTTTAAATCTCATCGGGAAGATACCACATACAAAAATGTGGAGGTTTCGAGATGTATGATATCTGCTGGAGTTGCAAAAACCTCATTGAGAAATCTACTTAATTTACTGTATCATTTGTTTCTACTTTTAGTTTGTTTTGTTACATTTTCCATAAATTAAAAGTTATCTTATGGAATTAATATTGATTTAGACTTTTGACTGTGCTATTTTAACACATTTCCAAAAAAACAGCATTGAAAGAGTTTTTTTCAAATCCTTAAAAAGACACCTACCATAACTGATTGTGCCATATAGGAAACCCACACCTTGGCTTGCCTAAATATAGAATAATAAAATATAGAATATATAGATATGACATCATTTTATTCCAACTGGGTAAAAGAAGGGTAGGGTTGCCAGTTGCCATGAAAATTATTAGATAATTGCACACGCATCTTTAAATGGCCTAAGCACAATTACATTTTTTAACATTCACAAGTTGAAGCATGGCCGAGGCCGTATGAGACAGAATTCATCACAAGGCGCACAACTCTTGAGGCTAATGAGTGTATTTGCAACACACCAATTAGACTACGGTCAGCACAGTGAACCACCATTATTGTCCGTTGACATGTCCTCGCCTCATGTTCCATTGGCAAATGAATGTGTGTGTGTGTGTGTGTGTGTGTGAGACCTACGGGTTATTGTTAAATGAGAACTGATTTAAATGTGCGTTCATGTCTTCAATCTACTTATTACAATAAGTACAGAACTGATAAAATAGGATATTTGGGCTGAAAAATGTCCCATGTTGTGTTTTAAACCAACGGTGGTATTCTTTTGATAAAGCATGGGTGAGAGTGTTGCAGGCATCGACAACACATGTCAATTGATAATAAAACAATAGTGCAGTACAGTGCAAGCTCAATTTGTAGAGCAAAAGAGAAACAAATGTTCACCTATTCACTTTTATCTGTCCCTTTTTGCTTAACATTACACCATGTTCCAAAATTACAAATGCTCCAAAATACCTGCAGAACATAAACAGATATCAACTTGACAGCGTTTTCTTTTGACGATGGATGCCCGAATTCTAATTCTTTGTGGAGATCTTTCTCTTTCACAAGAAGTAACAGCCTTTGTGTGTTATTTGATGAAGGTGATTTTACATGCTGTGGTAATGTTTCCTTCCATCTGTCTACTGTAAAACAGAGCCGGGGGCAACACTGTCTCACAATAATGTATTTATTGGCTGCACCTTGTACATTCAGCTCAATAAAACCCCAACCTGTATTCACATGTACATCTCTGCATTTATTAATTAACTCAATAGTTGAAAAACCCTCAAGAGATGCTACTTAAACTGCTAATTTTGGCAAACTGGCAAACTATGTTTAAAATAATTCTATTTTACAAAGGGCTGTTTGCATGTAATTATTATTGTTTGGATAGAATTGTATTTTGGGTTGTTCAGTTTTGCACGTACTTGTGTTGAATTGTACTTTCTGTTTTAGTCTGACCTGGTTACAAGCACTAAATTGAACCCGCCCGGCGCAGTTTGCACAATGGCAGGGTGTGACTGCTCGCCCAAAATGGAGCCATAGAGCAAACAGAACAAAGACACATAGAAAGCCGGGACACAGACAGATTGACTTGGCAAAAGAGCCAAAGCGGATCGCGGTTTGAGGAAGCGGCAAGGCGCACTGTCCGGACGAGTTGGACTAGTTATAGTCCAGATGAGAGCACGAGAACGGCAAAGCAAGGAGATGGGTATACACGCGCTAGTAAAGAATCAGCAAAAATAAGCCAGCTAGCAGTTAGCCTGCATCAAAGAAACTGGGCTGACGGGTGAGCACCCAGTCAACAGAGTCGCTGGACCAGTATTGCCAGAACTAAGAACCTCTCAGTCCACGCATGTTCTTAAAAGTAAAAAAAGGGACATGATGACGTTTTGATTCGCTCCAAATTACTCAGGTCGTGTTGACAGTGCCTACCTACCTTGCAGTGCTTCAAATTGGGACGGGTACGACAATGCACTTGCCTTTGCATGGTGAAGGTCATCGAATTGATTTCAAATAAATATTTATGTGTTGAAGATTTTAATGAGGAGCCTTTGTGAGGTCAGGAACTGGGTCAAAAGCAATGGGAAAATACATTTAATGGAAGTTAGTTAAGGGTCGATGGCGGGGGTTCAAATCAGACACAGACATCCGCATTAGCAGCATTTCTTGTGCATTATGTTATAGTTTTCATTTTGCTTTTGTTATACCCTTTTCACATACGAAAGGAGAATCCTACCAATGTCACAGCACAACACATTGTAAGATCAATACACACATATTTC